TGTATAGTGTATATATATAAGTATTTATATATACTTACATAAACTTATAGTTTGCATGTTACTAAGTTTTAAAAGTAATCATGCAATCTCAAGATTTCTGAAACCACAGGACGAGACGACATGAGAGCGGACTGTATTTTGTATTATGGCTTTGGAGACATATTCAGAGTAAGCTCAATGGTGGTCATGGAAAACGTGGGACAACAGAAGCTTTATGAGATGGTGTCATACTGCCAAAACATAAGCAAGTAAGCCACATACCTTCTTATACCGGGTTATTTAAAGACAAGATTAATATTTACAGTATACAGCAGTTACTTTTGGTACTTACTGAATACACTGGTGTTAACTCCACCATGCACATCTGTAAAAGCAGATGTCTAAGGGTAGGAAGCAGTATATGAACCTTTCATGATCTACCCTAATCCCAGACAAGATGCCCTATCATTTAAGTGATCCCCCAAAATTGATCTTTTAAATTGAAGGCTCTGATACTCAGACATGAGTTGAAGACTTTTTTTCTCTGGCATGGTACATAGCTACATGCTATAGTAATTTTGAAAAGGTGTGTGATAAGGTAAGCATTTGGAGAGTGAAGCTCAGAAACCATACCATTCTGCCAGCTGATGTGTCAATGAAATCATTGAAGGCAGGGTCAAGTTTCTCCTTGTGAAATAACTAAATCTACTTAGGGTGGCTTTGGTTAGAACAAATAGCTTCCTGATGTTCTCTAGGTCCTGGTCACTTTTGTACTCTTCTGTTTATCACAGAAGGGCTCAGAAACACTGAAATGGTAAGCACTAACCCAACAGTGATGGAAGATGGTACTTCTTTCCAATAACTGCTCCAAAAAAAATGAGAACATGAAAATCCTCTTAAAAGCCCAGTAGGTTCCCATTTGGGGGTTAGACTTAAATATTAATACTTTAAAATACAAGAAACTATTGTCAATAACATTCTCCTAATAGTTGTAAAATACTGAATTTCACAACAGGTTACTTTTTAAGCAGTGGTTATCAAGAACATATGAGAAGGAGATCATAATAGATGTAGTGGATAGAATGGTCCCCTGATGTCCACATCCTAACTCCTAGAACTGCTTTTACCTTATAAGCAAGGGGAAGTTAAAGTTACCAGTGGAATTCAAGTTGCTAACCAGCTGACCTTAAAATAGTAATTGTCTTTGGTTATCTGGGTGGGTCCTTAAAAGTGGAAGAGGGAGATAGGTCAGATTCATGAGTTAGGTGGACTCAACCTGCTGTTGTTGGCTCTGAAGATGGAAGAATGGGGTCAGGAGCCAAGGAAGTGGCAGCCTGTAGATAGTGGAAAAGGCAAAGAAACAGGTTCTCTCCTAGAGCCTCCAGAAGAAATTCAGCCCTGCTGACACCTTGATTTTGATCCAGTGAGACCCAGATTAGAATTAAAAGTTACAAAAACATATGATAAATTGGTATTGTTTGAAGCCATTAAGTGTGTGGTAATATAAGACAACTATAGAAAACTAATACATGTATTTTATTACTTCCTATGTTCAAAGCTTTATTAGACTGATCAATTAACACTCTCTACCTCCAAATGTATTCGCAGGTGTCGCCGTGTTTTGATAGCTCAACATTTTGATGAAGTGTGGAACTCGGAAGCATGTAACAAAATGTGTGATAACTGCTATAAAGACATTTGTAAGTTTGTTATTTTTTAAACCCTTACCATCTGTTACATATAGCTAGGACAACATTGGGGAAGTATTAGGACCACCCCCAATGGATTTAAAAGGTGAAACAAACTGTAGATCCAAAATTATTAACAGACTTTTCAAATGAAGTGACTAAAAGTCATACACGTATGCACACATTTTATATTACTGTAATGAGGAGGTGCTATTTTTAAGAAATAAGAAAAAATTGTAATTCCTCTGAACAGAAATACTGTAAGAAAAGGCTAACCTTGTAATACTCTCTTAGTACTTTATAGTCCCTGACTGGGAAGAAAACTTAGTGCAAAATAGACTCAGTAAATAATTTTTAATAAATTACTCACAAGACTTTAACTTAGTTAAATACAGCAGTTTAAATATAGCAGTTTGGTGCTGTATTTTAACTTTTCTTCCTCTTGTGTGTATGTATTGTTCTTGAAAAGCTAGACTGACCAGTTCCTCATTCAAGGCCTCATTGAGTTCTGGTTCCTTGGTGGGTGGAGGTCACTACCTTTTTAATTCTGCAGGTAAAAATTCTTATTTTTCAGTGCAAAGACTGTCTTATATAAGAGTGTGATGTGTTAAGTTGAGTACCAATCTCTTAGTAATTGAAATATCTGTCCAGGACATTCTTGTCTATAGAAGCCTTACTTTTCAGGATTTGGCTTAGTGAGCAAAATCAGGTAAGTGTGAAGAACAGGCTGTCCTATAACGCATACCACTTAGTAATTGGCAGATACTTTCTGGTTTGTCACAATAAATCTCAAAGTGTGCTATAGAGACTATAACTTGATCTAGTGATTGATGCTTAAAGGACTGCTGTTAATTCAAAGTACATTAAAAAAAATTCATTTCAGGACAGTTCATTTTATAACCACTTAAGAGAGCCTATCCTTGCTTGCATTTCTAAATCTCAACAGCCATATCTCTTTCATTACAGCATTTGAAAAAAAGAACGTAACACAGTACTGCAGAGACCTAATCAAGATCTTGAAGCAGGCAGAGGAAATGAATGAAAAACTCACTCCACTGAAACTGATTGACTCATGGATGGGAAAAGGTGTAGCAAAACTGAGAGTAGCAGGTGTTGCTGTTCCCATACTTCCCCGAGAAGACCTGGAGAAAATCATTGCACACTTTCTTCTGCAGCAATACCTTAAGTATATCAACACCACTTCCTGCCCTTTCCAATTATCTTTGATTGTATTTTGTTTTTTAATTGTAGCACAATGGTTTTGTAATTATTTCATGTGTACTTTTAAATGCAATAGAAAACATTTTATTAAATAAATAGAAACAATTGATCACTGTTAAGTCAGAACAGTACAGAATTGCTCTCTGTAAAGATTAATTTAAGCTGGGCACTGCAGCTTATGTATGTGATCCCTCCTACTCAGGAGGTGGAGATTGGGAGGATCATGATTGAAGGCCAGTTCAGGCAAAAAGTAAGACAAACAGTGTGTTGGCACAAGTCTGTAATCTCACTCCAGGGGAGGCACAGGTAGAAAGATTGCAGTCTGAGGCTGGCCCTAGGCAAAAAACAATAGAACCTATCTAAAAACAACTGAAGCAAAAAAGGGCTCAAGTGGTAGAGCGCCTGCCTGGCAAGTGTGAGGCCCGGAGTTCAAACCCCAGTACTACAAAAGATATCTGTGCTCTTCTTACAGTATTATTTTATTATTTCTCATTAGTGTTTTCTAAAGTTTTGGTTATTTCTTTTATAAATTTTAGTTTTCTATTATTCCTTAAAAGGTTTCTGATTATTGGCCTTTATGTTTTGCAGAGAAGACTACAGTTTTACAGCTTATGCTACCATTTCCTATTTGAAAATAGGACCCAAAGCTCATCTTCTCAACAGTGAAGCTCACATTATTACTATGCAAGTAAAGAAGCCCACGTACAGCTGTTTCAGGGTAACAGACTGGCTATTCATTTTCCATTTTCATTCAAAGTTTATTACCTACAGGGTGCTTTTCTGTAGCTCTTTGGTAGGTTCAGCTGAACACAAGAGATAAGTCAGTTTTCTTCCTGGATCCTGAGTTTGGAAGAGAAAAAACATAACTTTGTTCTCTATACAGATAAAGTGGAAGACTTTAGAGTAGCTCAGTGTATACTAGGGGTTTCCAGCCTCTAGGAATGTGAGGATTCCTTTTTAAAGTAGTTTTGTGAGGGCCCCTGTCCTCCCAGGACTGAGTTGTATCACTTGTGGTTAGGATGCCTGTCTGGGCTGACCTGAGGCTGAAAGCCACTGTTAGCATCCAGATGCTGTCAGGCATGCACCACTGTGTCCAAGGACACTGCCAGTGTTCTTCAGAGTTTTCCTGACCTCAAACCCCTTTTATTTAAGATCGGGCTCATCTTTGAGTAGAACCTGACCCCTTGAGACTGACAGAACTGACTGATACAGAAAGACTATTTTGAGATTATTAATCTCAGGAGAAAACTGAAGAGCTGAATTTTTACAAGGGTACTTGCTGTGTTATTTTCTTTTAGATTGAATCATCTGGTACTTGTCAAACTGAACAAGCTGATAAAAAGGGGGAAGAAAAAAATTCAGGTAACTTCCAGAAGTCTGCAAATATGCTTCAGCAATCTGGTTCTAAGAACACGGGGGCTAAAAAAAGAAAAGTTGATGATGCCTGAGATGACTGCTTGTAAATTCTCCACAAGAGAATGGTTTCTGCTTGTATACGTCATTATTCTTGTAATCAACAGTTTAATTTTAAAACATTTTCATTGAAATTTCACATATATAGAACCGTATTTTCAGAGATTATCTCTGAAGATTTGAGAATTCAAAATCTGCTAAAAATTGCACATCATGAATTGTATAATTTTATAGTATAAAACAGGGGAAACAAATCCTTTTTATTTGAGAATAAGTTCATAAAACTGCCTTAAGTTCTTCATGCCTTGATATACTTAAATGTATTTTCTTTTGATGTAACTACCTTTTGATAGCAGTATTATACTGACACAGGGTCATCACTACAAGTGAGTGACATCTGAAGCTAAATAATGTATTTCAGGTTATAAAAAAAGCATATCATAATTCAAGTAAAAGTGAAGATATCAGTACAAATAATCCTAGCAAATAAGATGCCACTCCATCTCTATTTGAATAAAACAAAATTTTTAGCTTCCTGAAGCCACAGCCTTGTTTTGGTCTTTTGCAGTCAGGAATGGACCTGAATCTTCAGAGTGCATTTTGGCTAAGCCAGGACAGGAGTGGGTCTTAAGTATGCTCCAAAACTAGATCATAGTGAAACATTTAAAACATAAAAATGGGTAAATTAAGATTTCTTTATAAAGTAAGTGGTCAATTTTTTTATTAGAAAAATATATCTTTAAATAAATTATTTGAACTGATTTATCCTTAGAATTTTATTTCTTTCAATACTTTCCCACCAAATCATTATCACTTCTGTATTTTTAACTTCATGTGGTTGTCATTAAATTAGTACAGTCATTCATTTTTTCCCTCATTTGGAACTTTATGTGGTTCTTGAAGAAATTCCCATTTTAGTCAAAATAATCTTCTATATCAATATTTGGATCTAGCAGATCTTCTCCGTAGGATGAAAGATCCATTTGGTTTAAAATTAAATTTTCAAATGTTTCCTCTAAATCAGTTTCACCAATTAAGACAGCTCCCATCATTCGCCCATTCTGCATGATGACTTTGATGTACTCTTGTCCTTTGGTACATCTCAACATTAATTCGTGATCTGGGCCTAAGCCTTGTGCGTTGTATTTTCCCAACAATACAACCTACAGATAGGGATAAAAGGTATTCTTGTGAGTACCAAAAAAAAAAAGGGGGGGGGTATGCAATATGCAGTAGTTATTTTGGATCATGTCATTTTAGCCTGCAGAAAAACTACTCAAGATTTTACAGCTCAGCATGTCATTGGGAGGACCCAAAGAAAGCACTTGAATGGCATTCTGCAGATGGTACCGCCACATGGTCTACATCAAAAATATCAGTGAATACATGAATGCTTAATATTGCTAACAATGGAAGCACACAGAGGCTATAAGTAGCCAATAGTATGCCATCTAAATGAATAGTAAAGACATCTAGTGAATACATAAATAGGATGTGAACTATACCCGAGCCTGGATTAATAATTATGATTAGGAATTAAAATATTATTAAAATATGATTAAAATTAAAGTATGACCAGGAATTAAAAGCAGCAGTGCCAGATACTGATTTGTAAGAAATGAGAAAATACCATTTTTGGTATAATGAAACCATGTAAATATTTGCAAAATGTAGATATCAATAACGGTTATCATAATAATGTGCAGAAAAGGCACTAATCTGCTTAAATATCTTACCTTATAGTTAAAAAATTTTGTTACATGAGCAAATAGTTCAAAACTGAAATCCATGTCAATAGAGTCTCCCAAACTGTCTGTAGTCATGCACTTTGCTGCATACCATCCCATCTGCCTCGCCTGGGTCCACAGCCTCATCTGAAACAGAAGAAATGTTACTTGATATTTCTTTTCACTGTCTGGTTCCCTTAAAGCAGTTTGATGTCTGATAGTTCGGTGGATGAGTTGGTTTAGTTACTGTCTTCTTTCCTCTTGTAGCAGTCACCAGTGCGCACCAATCAACACAATTTTACTATTTGTTAATTCTATCTCATTTACTGCCTCTAAAATTAAGTGATGACACACACCACCAACTGTGTATTCTGATAAAACTTACTAAATATAAAAGTATTTAGGCTATGTCAGATGAGTATAAAATTTTAATTAACTACTCTCATCTCCAAAGTCTTCCATAAGCACTAAGATGCCATACTATCACTGAAAATTTTGTTTCATTCTTTTCAGCCTTAGATAAAGCCTACTGTCCAACTACCTCAATGGTCCGACAGCTGCACACACTGATGTGTACCAGTTGCTCCATGACATCGGATTTTAGCAACTAAGTCTGGGAAGTCATTTAATTTCTCTGACAGTATTAACTTCTCCTCTATTGTTTATTTATTATATTTCTGCAAATTATGAGGATTTCCTGATAGAATACAAGAGCACTGGCCTTGGGACTCACAACAGATTTGAATCCTAACTCTTCTGCATACTTAATTTTCTGAGTCCAGTTCTTCACCTGAAACATAAACACCACCACCTATTCCATGGCTGTTAGAATTGGTTGGCCTGTAAAAATCAATTAGTTTGCTGATTTTTATGTGCAAAAGTAATTATCGTAATCATAGACATGAGCTCTGAGAATTTCCAGAAATGATTTTACTTTTTAATTCCATCTCTAAGCAAGGTGGGGCTGATGAAGTGAAAGGGGCAGAGTGACCAAGAATAACAGCTAGAAAATGGCTAATAGATGTGTCCAGCAGTGGGACACTGTACTGTACTGTAGCCACAAAATCCCTCAAGCTTGTGCCTTGGGCTCTGCAACAAATTCATGTACTTATTGTGAGTGCAAATTAGGATCTATGAGATTCACTCAAAACAGGGAACACCTGTTTATTTTTGGACATTTTTCCCTATCAAATTATGACATGCATTAAAGATCTAACTTACCGTAGAGGGTTTAGTTTTCTTTTAATCCCTCAAATTCCAGCTCCTAATTAAAAATTTATGACAGTTATGCCACAGAAATGACATATGATAGAAAAAACTGAAAACAAGTTAGTTAGAGGCAAGTTATAAACAAACAGGCTAAAAGTATCTTTTATTATTGTCTCTGCTGTACATGAAAACACAAAAGTGATGGAGCTGCCTCCAAAATCACTCTGAATGAATAGCAACCTTGCCTGTGGAGTGGGACTTCAACAACGGCAAGTGTTGCCTGCTTCCTGTCTGTCTCCACCCTCCTGAAAGAACCTCTTGTGCTCACTGAGTTGATTATTTTCTTCCACTACTTTTGTAACCCCACCAGAAGGATGTAGGCTACATTGTGAGGGCAGGGGGAGTTCTGGATCCATCCCGGAGGTGTGAAGGTAGAAGAGAGCTACTCAGTATAGGAACTTTTTTCAGTCATAATTACCATAGGGACAGAATGCTTTATTTATGTGATCTATGATCTCAGTAGATTTTTTTTTTAATTCCTGTACTGTCCAATATTGTGGCTACTAGCCATACATAGCTTAATTAAAAGTAAATAAAGGTAAGTTGAGTTCCTCAGCCACATCTAAAGTGCTCATGTGATACATGTGGCTATCTGATGACAGTGCAGAACTGCAGGCAGTGCCAATGAGCATATGAGAATGAGAAAGCACTCATGGTCCTTTTTAAATTTAGATATCCCAGTTGACTCCAATGCTATGTAATTTACCAAAAAGAAGAAATCTACTTTAAAAAAAAAAAAATCACAAAACCACTCTGTAAGTGCATTTTACTTAAAGTAGAAAAGCTGGGAAAGCAGAAAGTTAGATTTGTTGGTAGCCACTGCTGTGTTTTCATGTGAACTCTTTTAAGGCATGTTCCATACATGTGGCTCACCTGCTGCCAGACAGGGCTGAGCTGCCAGCATGCAGTGCAGATGTCCCCTGCAGCATAGATGTCAGGAAGGGATGTGTGCATATGGTCATCCACTTTTAGGCCACCATCTTCTCCTAGATCAAACTAAACAATGTTTCTCATAAGCAAACATGCTAAGAAAATTGAAACATGACTCTTTCATTATAAAGTAAAAGAACAAGTCAAGTTTTTAAATGTTAGTATGCAAACTGCTGATGAGAAAGTGAAAACAGCTGCAGTTTCCTACACTGAATTTCCAGGATCAATTTCTTACTAAAACACTCATAAAATTCTCGTAATTCTGACGTCAAAAATATCCAATAATCATGATTACCCCATCTATAATTGTGAAAACACACCTGTTTTTCTAGGCTTCAAGTGCTAAAAACCAAAATAGAACAATGTATAAGATTCAGTTTTGATAATTCCTAACAGGTGTCAGTCTCTTACCAACCTTTCAATAAAGGAATTGTATACTGTGTCGCCTGATGACACTTAATGCTGAGATGTCCACTGTCTAAGGATTTTACATAGTAAAGAATACTATAAATCAAGACATAAATTTTACTTTACCTTGTTACCATGGACAAAAGGTTCTATGTTTGGTGTCACTCCTGTGGCACTGACAATGAAATCACAGCCATATATCTTTTCATTGGTCAATTCCACATACACAGGCCACATCTCTTAAAAAAAAAAAGACTTTATTCTCAAATGTAAACATCAGAAATGATCCACAGCATTCTGTGAATATAACAGAAATAGAGAAAAAGGAAGGCAGGAGATGATTTCAGATGATCTCCTAATAATCTGTAAGGTACTCTGGCAGAACAATTTGAATGCAACGAGCACAACCTCATTTAGGTATAATTACAACAATGTGGTATTCTAAACGCCTTCCTTCAAATTTGGATATACAAATTTTAACAAAGTAAATTTATATTGATAATCACTTTCTAAATTATTTCTTTTAAAGCCAATACTTTATACTCTACTTAGGAGTTTAATACAACTAGCTTACTCACTTTTAGTGTTTTTCCTCAGTCCAACTTTTAACACTCCCTTTTCCTATGGAAAAGCTCAGAGAATTTAGAACAGTAGAATACCATGCACTAGCTGGCAGAGTGTATGTCAAATGATTCACAGGAGTAGGCAGAACAGTAGTAGTTCTCACAGGAGGTGTGGAATAGGACTTGGAAGATCTGCTTCATAGTGCCAAATATACTCATTTCAGCCTGTTTGATTTGGAGGAAGTCATTTCACCTCTGAAAACCTCTACTCTTTAAAAATTTGTTGTTGTGATCTGTAAAATACTGATTATCTCACTGGGTTGTGACGGCCCATACTATGGGCTCTATGTAAAACCCTATACAATTTAATTTATCAGAAAACTGAAAGGATAAGTAAGTAGTGAAATGAAGTTACTTAATGTTAGGGTATTATTTTACTTCTCTTAAATTTCATACAGAAATCTCTAAGCTTAAAATATAATAGCAAGATTTAATTGTATTTCTTTTAAGTAAGTGGTTGTATTGTTTTTCTTTCATTACTTACCTTTATCAGGTTTAACTGACTTATTATGATGATCTCTTGAAAAGGCCAGGGACTTTTTCTTCAGAATTCTAAATTCTTCCTGAACGTAGATTTTCTTTACTTCACACATAGTTTCAATGTGAATGTTATGAGAAAACTAGAAGTTAAGGAAAAAAAAAAAAAAACTGGCTTACCATAATACATCCAGAGAGAATGACTTGAGTTACTAAAGATAAAGAAAAAAAATACAATATACCTATAGAAACATATAGAGAAAACATCTGTTACAAATGAAACACATCTGATGTCACAAAATAAGCTTCTCATTTTCTGTGTATGAAAGGAATGAGCAGAAATTCATTCAGGACTTAAAAGACCTAGTAGATGACTGGCCAGGAAGATTTAGTCTGAATTTCACAAATAATTATACATTTTTAAAAAACTAAAATGATGACAGATTATATAAGAACTTCAGGGTCTATTTTGACTTATTGCTGTATTTCAGAACCTTAGTAAAGTGCCAGGTAGATAGTAGATAGAACTAAACTGTTGAAGTTCTTGAGTTAAAAACACAACTAATCACAAGAGATCTGAGAGTGCAGGAAGAAATGGTTTTATTTCCATCCCCCAAATTAGACACACCATGTTAGCCAGCCTCCCTCCCACCTACCCAAAGCTGAAAAACTGCTTTAAGAAATCAGACAATGACACATGCATCTATATTCAAGTTTATGCAATGTTTAAATAGGACAACTTTTTAGCAACCATTTAAAAAATTAAAATATCTAATGAAATAAGTAAGAGCAAGTCTTTTGCTTATCCAATTACAACACTAAATATGTATTTTGAGTCAATCTAACAACCTTAATATAAGTGAACTGCATGCATCTGAAGTGAACTTTAAGAAAAGATGAATTATAAAATAAGGCAGGTGCCAGGTGTGGTAGTTCATACTTGTAATCTTAGCTATGTGGAAAGTGGAGATCAGGAGGACAGATCTGAGGTCATCTAGGGCAAAAAGTTTGCAAGACCCCATCTCAACCAATAAAAAGCAGGGAATGGTGGCACACACCCGTCATCCCAGCTCTGAGGAAAGTGTAAATAAGGATGATGGTGGTCCAGGCCTGCCTGGCATAAATATGAAACCTTATTCAAAAAATAGCTAAAGCAAAAAAGGATTGGGGATATCGCTCAAGTGGCGGGGCAGTTGCCTAGCAAGGGCAAGGCCCTGAGTTCAAATCCCAGTACTGTCAAAAAGTAAAATAAAATACAGGTGCATTCACTGTAGACTTGGTGTGGCGCTCTCAATCCCTGGGAAGTTAAAAAGGCAAGACAGTTTTAGATCAATTTCCTATTCACTGACTTCTGTTGGGCATCGGGGCCAACTGCCTTTGAGGTCCTTTCCTTGCACAATGGATTTAAAATGAACTACCTTCACTGCATTTCG